TTGAATGAGATTGAAAACTAAAATGCAGAAAAAGAAGAAGAAGAACAGAATCTTATCTGAATCTTTAAAATATATTATTATTTAAAAAGTAACGAAAGATATTCAATATAAAATTTTACATCAATAAAAATGATAATCTTTTTAACAGTCATAATTATCTGTAGAGCATTACTAATAAAAGATTCAAACATCAGTTCTATCCAAAGTACTACCATTGATGTTGCGTAAATTACACTGCTTATAATTCGGAAATTTAATTATGCAATCAATGAATGTAGTAACTATGATTGATATTTTACAAGAACAAACTCAAATTTTAATTAAAGTGAACTATCTTGTTCAAAAATGCTTGTATTATCTTTGTAGAGACCATTGATAATGAATGATATTGATAAAAAATTTTCAAAATGAATATAATAATATCGATTGTATTCGTTTAATTTTTCTTATTTTGCATGTGTATTTTCACACTTTCAATTGAAATAAAAAACGGTGAATGTGAAATTCTCTTAGATTTAAGTTTCTGATGAAACAATAATGATACAAATTTTCATTGTTGTAGTAAAATAAAAGCATATGATTGATCAGTGAATGCTTTTTAGTCTGAAAAATGAATAATAGTGTTGATTATTTCAAATAAAAAACTAATTGTATACCGTTCGAAATCTCACACCCGACATTTGAAAAATATATACCAGCACTGGTATTAGTTGTTATATATAAAATTTCGATATATTCTTTTTTTTTCGTCAAAATTTTATCTCGTTATTTAATAAATATCTTTATTCTTCGTAATTAAATAAATTAGAGAGAATATTTTAAACATCTTTAATCGATATAATTTTGCTTTTTTCATAATTAACTAGTTTTCGAACTGTTTGATAAGGTAAGCAAATATGATTAAATAATTTTGTTCATGTATTAAATAGAACGAATGATGCTATAACGAATACAACTGTTACACAATGACGTATGTTTTATTACGATTTGTTATTTTCCTTTACAAACATGTGTTTCCATTCTTTCGTTTTTTTTTCTTTCTAAATCTATCCTTTATATAATCTATTCAATATATTGATGTTTATCTTTCAAAATTTTTATCGTTTAAATTTGATTTTTATACATTCTAGATCGTTATTGTTTTATTTTAAGATAAGCCGGACTCGAACAAAAAAAAAAAGAATACCTCAATGGGAATTGAAGGTCTTCATCCATTGCTTAAACCAGCCATACATCGTGTAAATATAAAAAATGCTGAATTTCAAGGAACAACATGTGCTGTTGATACAAGTTTTTTACTTCATCGAGGTGCTTATGCATGTGCTGGAAAATTAGCACAAAATGAATCGACTAATAAGTAAATAATTCTATATTTAAATTATA